GAGTGAATTGAATCTGTATAGACCTAGATGTAGACCTAGAGATCTAGATCTAGACCTATAGACCTTGATCTAGAGCAGGTGTACATGGACATATCTTCGTCGTCAAATGCTCACACACACACACACGCACTCTCTCTCTCTCTCTCTCTCGTCACATCCCTGTGTTACGAGGCCGCTTGTGTGTGCGAGCATGCCTCTACACAGGTTCGCCGGTGCATGCACATGCGGGGCTGTGTAGGAATGGGCATGAGCATGCTCTTGTGCATCAGTATATCAGTATGTGAGATTTTGCGTCTGTGCGAAAGCTAATGGAGTCAGGTCAAAATCCATCTCCCGTCATGTAGCTGTCTTAATCTCCTGCAAAGACTCCTGCAGCCACTTTCGTAGAACGGGAGGGGCAGAACTTTGAAGCAGTAAGTCGCTGCCAAATACTGACTGGCACTGACGGCTAGGACGCCCTAAACCCTGAACCCCAACCTCCAAAACCTCCAAGGCTCCTCAAACTCTAAACCCTAAACCTCTAACCGCCGATAACTCTGACTCTAAACTCTCAACCCAAGACTCTAAGACCCCTACGCGACCTCTAAACCTTTTAAGACCTCTAAACGAGCGGTAAATGCTAGGATCAAACACAAAGCCCCCTACCTATGGTTTAGGGTTTAGGGGTCCATCCTTGAGGGGTGTTGGGCGGGAGCTGGTGGGCTCTCTGCACACAGCATTGTCGCAGAAGAATGTCCTATCATCAACATTCAATGTTGGACCCACCCCCCCAAAGCAGCTGCCACGTCCCTTTCTGTAATCATAGCTGGCAACTATAACTAAACCCTATCCCTAAACCTAAACCCTAGAATCCCTCATCCGTACAGCCGAAGGTTTAGTTCAGTAGCTCAATGCTGAGGGAAGATTAGCCAGGATTGTACAAAGCAAGACAAGCTGCACACAAGCTAAGGTTACCTATGGGGGCCCTAGTGATTGGAACAGGGGTTGGAAGTCCTTTCTAGTACGAAATGAACTTGAGGATCGGCAGTGGTATACTGTTTCTAACTTTCTGATCTCTAGAAATATACGGGGCTTTGAGGTAACCAGAGAGAAAAAAGTATAGACT